AAAATTGTCTATAAATATAAGAACATTTAGTACACACCAGGAAAATATAAATCAAATGCACCGTGCAGCACCTCCAGATTTGATATGATGACTAAAATGAAAAAGGCCTAAAACACCAAAGCTTGGCAAAAATAGACACAAAAGACCTTTATAAATTCATAGTTAAAGAAAAAATAGATTTCAAATCTCTTTGACACTCACTACTAACTAAAATTACATGTACATCATAACACTGTACACATCAATGCCACAGGCAAATATCAAACAGTAAAATAGATGTTTACTAAATCTAGATACAAGAATGTTTCTAACCACAGTGTTTGTGTAAAGCTAAGATTGAAAGCAGCCCAACTTACATGGCTTTTTAAAGTTGGAATGTACTCTCTATTCACTTACTATTTATTTGTTTATTGTGATAAGGACATAGTAAGTGTACCTTCTAAACCAACTTTTAAGTGTACTTTATTGTTAATTTTATTACAATATTGTAAAACAGATCTCTAGAGAATATCCACTTTATCTGATTCAACCCATTAATTACTGATTCCCCATCTGTCCCTCTCAACAGCACTTAGAAGTCAGTGTTTTACTTTTTGATTCTATGAATCTGAGCATTTTACATAACTCATATAAGGGGTATTACTCACTTTTTAAATGTTATATGTCTTGTATTTAAGCAGTGCAGTACTATACAGGAAGACAGAAGCACAAAGCAATGTGCCTGAGGCTCAGAATTATAGTGTTGGTCAATCAAGCACAACGGCCTAGGTGTACATGCTACTGAAGTTTATTTCAAGGGCAAAACTCTAGGAGATCAAATGACCCTGCTAAATTAGGGTAGTGGGTACTTCAAGAGTTGAAGAGAAAAAAAAGTTGAAGACATGTGTGCACAGCCAAGTTTCACTTTCATGATTTGCACCTATGTGGCTGCCTTTAGTTCTAATTCAAGAATTTGCACACTTATTACATGTGCATTTCTGCCAGGTATATCTATTTAATCTTTGAGAAAATGACAAGAAAACTGTTTTGTCTCTACAGCTACAGATTAGCACCTAAATATCATTTCCCAATCCAATTTGAAGATGTATACAATGCTTTAAGATGGTTCTTACGCAAAACTGTTCTTGAAAATTATGGTGTAGACCCTGAGAGAATCTGTGTTTCTGGAGACAGTGCAGGAGGGAATTTAGCTGCAGCAGTGACTCAGCAGGTAAGATGTTCATTATTTCTGTTTTTCAAAATTGTCTACTTAAAAACAGATAAATATGTATCTGCAAATATAAAAGTGACAATGCATGTAATATTGAAGAGAATATTACTAAAAATGGATAATACATCAAACTGTCAAAATTTCTGTTCTTGTCAAAGTTTCATTCACTTTCTTAATGAAATAACAGTAATCTGAGTAGATCATTGAATTAAACTTTGATATGTGTTAGTGAAATATACTAGTCAGATGAATGAGAACAGAAAATGACTTTTAACCCTTTTGCAGATTCAAATGTATTGAATTATCCTCTGTGGCATAGCCTTCCCTTACCAAAATAATCTAACTAATCTGAGACCATTATCAGCACATTCAAAAATCCTATATTATTTCAAGAAAGATTAGAAATTGAGAGACATGAATTGTCCTGAGATAAAGGCGTGTGTAAATGTCTTCTTGATCAGTACATTTAGTCTCTCTAAGCCTTCATTTCCTCATCTATAGAGAAAAATCAACCATCACTCCTCCTATCTTGTTTGGATGTAACAAATTATAGCCTTGAGGCCAAACCCAGTCTGTGCCCTGTTTTTATTTCTCCTTTTCCTGACAGTTTCTTTCCCTTTCACAATATCTATTGTATCTTTCAGATTTTATTTACTTTTTCAGTTTCTTACACTAGGGAGACTGTGATGTTTACAAATGTGGGTCTGATTTAGTTCACTTATGAGTATGGTCTCCAGTTGCATCCACTTCCCTATAAAAACCTTGAGTTTATCTTCTTTATAGTTACATCTTTTTATCCATTCCTCAACTGATGGGCATTTCGGTTGTTTCTAAGATTTAGCTATGAGAAATTTCACTGCTATAAACATGGGTGCACATGTATCTCACAGTTATTCTGAGGGCCACTTGCATATATTTACATTAAAAAATCTGGTAACATTATACAACCTTTACAAATGTTATTCAAAATATTCAAAATGACCTATTTTGAAAATTATAATTAAAAAACAGACAGATTCCCAAGTTGCAAAATTTTAAGGTATATTCAGTACCAGTAGTTTTATTTTGAAATAATACATAAAAATTTTTTAGTATAATAAACATTTAGAGAACATATAAAACCACATTTTAAAGAATATATTCTCAAAAATTGAAATGTTATTAAGAAATACTTTTATGGATCACTTCTGTTCAACTGTAATATTTGTGCATTCCACTTTTCTGACCACCGATCTTTACAAAAATTAGCACACTGGGCCTGATATGGGAGAATAATTTTCATGGAATGTCTCACAAAGAAAGCCTTCCCAAATTGAAAACAGCATCTCACTTTGGGGTCAAAGCAAAGTCAGAAATACTTCAGGGATTCTTTTTCTTTATGGCAAAACTTACACTGGTCTATTTTAATAGGCTTTTATACTAACAGAAAAATAATGGAGTTAAATTTACATGTCTATGTGCCATTGCTTTTGTATGTCATTCTTAGTTGAAAAGTTATTACATACACTTACTAATTATTACTTAGGTTCTTTTGCATTATCCTTAAAAGATGTAGAGTACATGATTTTTCTTAAGTCTAACATATGCTTACTTAAGGAGCATCTAGTTCTAGAATGTCTTTTAAACACTTCAAACTTTGTCAAAGTGGGTGATGCAGTTTGCTTATTTCTTAAGTCATTTTTTGAGGGCTGAATTTATATGTAAGTTATCTTGTTGCAGTTATTTTACTGTGTTCAAGTAATTTGTGCAAATCCTCTTAACTTCTCTTTAGCTCTTAGGTGATCCAGAAGTCAAGACTAAAGTCAAGATCCAGGCTTTAATTTATCCTGCACTTCAACCTCTTGATTTACACTTACCATCATACCAAGAAAATTCACATATGCCGATTCTGTCTAAGTCAATCATGGTCAGGCTCTGGAGTGAATACTTTACCACAGACAGGGCACTCGAGAAAGCCATGCTTTCCAATCAGCATGTACCTGAGGAATCAAGTCATCTCTTCAAGTCTGTTAACTGGAGCTCCTTGCTTCCTGAGAGGTTTAGAAAAGGACATGTTTATACCAACCCAACTTATGGTAGTTCTGAATTATCTCAAAAATATCCTGGGTTCCTGGATGTCAGGGCAGCTCCTCTGTTGGCAGATGACAACAGGTTGCGTGGTTTACCCCTGACCTATGTCCTCACTTGTCAGTATGATGTCTTAAGAGATGATGGACTCATGTATGTCACCAGGCTTCGGAATGCTGGAGTTCAAGTGACCCATAACCATGTTGAGGATGGCTTCCACGGAGCAGCTTCCTTTCTGCAACTCAAAATTAGCCATAGAACGATGAATCAGTATATTAGTTGGCTAAAGAAAAATTTATAGCAAAATGTGTATTCTTGATGTGTTTTTAAAATACACTAAATATGAATGCATCATAAAATCCATATGGAATAAAATTGGTGTGGTTTGGAGAGATCTATTGAAGTTCCACTTGTAGTATAATAATTCTTGCTGTAAATATCTTCCATCTTTTAAAATACTCAGAAGGATTTCATGCAACATTTCTCATCGCATATGTGCTATTTCTGTCAACTCTCCTAGTATATTGTAAATTTTACTTTTTAATTTCTTTTTTTGTGCAATATCTTTTCTGTGTGTTAGTAACCATTTATAATTGGAAGAAGAGAAATGTAAGAAAAGATTTTTTCTCTTTGAAGACCATCACTCCTCCTGTCTTGTTTGGATGTAGCAAACTAGAGCCTGGAGGCAAAACCCAGACTGTGCCCTGTTTTTATTGCTCCTTTCCTGGCAGTTTCTTTCCCTGTCACAATATCTATTGTACCTTTCAGATTTTATTTACTTTTTCAGTTTCTTACACTAAGGAGACACTATGGTGTTTACACATGCAGGTCTGACTTATTTCACTTATGAATATGGTCTCTAGTTGCACCTACTTATTTATAAAAAAACTTTAGTTTATCTTCTTTATAGGTACATCTTTTTATCTATTCCTCAACTGATGGGACTTCGTGTTGCTCCCAAGATTTCTCTATGACAAATTGTGCTGCTATAAACATGGGTGCGCATATATCTCTGTGGTATGATGTTTTCAATTCTTAGAAAATAGCCAGAAGGGGAACAGCTGGGTTGAATGGAATGTGCACTGTTCTTTTACTCTAAGTAAATGATTGTTTATGTATTACAGAGTTGTCAAAAGAAGAGGATATTGAAGAGGTATTAAAAGAAGAAAAGAGGGAATAAGAGGGGAGGAGATGACATATTTTATCACAGGCCATTTTCAAAACAGCTTACAACTTTACATAACAATGCTACCGGAGTTTTTCATTACTTTAGGTTCCAAAAGACCTTCTTATGTTTACTCTCAATATGTCACTATCACATTGATAATCTCAGTACTAATTAAGACAGCCCCTTTGTCAATTTGGATTTCCAGTTCTCCAATAATCTTGTTGTGTGGTCCTTGAGTAAAATGCACTCATGGCCATGAGCTATAATGTGCTGTGACAAGAAAAATATCACTTTTGTACCTAACAGACACTCAAGCACTTTTAAGTTGGGTCCTCATTTTCAGTAATATCTGAGGTACTTGTAACTCATGGAGTAAACCAACACTGGACTCCTATACATTGCTGTCATGTAATGTCTTCTACTCCTCACTACAGTATGGTCTATGGTCAGTGAGAACAGGGCACCCTCAGGTCTCTTTGATCTCTACTTGTCTACTCGTTTGTCAGAATTACACCCTGCACATATACCTTTGCAGCTAAATATGGTGGAATAAAACCATTAAAGTGTTGAAATTTTCTCTCTTTAAATATTAGAAGCCCTTAACAATGTCATTCATGATGCCTAGGGATCATAGTATGCTCAAGTGAGTCTTCTGTTCTGTCAGTTATCCTTAACTATCAGCTTGACAGGATTAAAAGATTCCTGGAGAAGCGATTGGATCTGAGCAGTAGTACTGGATTAATCCCCTGATGTTCATAGCTCAATGTACTGCTTGTTAGAAGGCGGGGCCCAGTTGGAAAGGCTTGCCTTTGGACTGTAAACTCTCCCAGGTGTTATTTCCTCACCTCCAGGTATGTGGAATAAGAAAAAGTAGAGAAGGAAGTATCTTCAGGAAAATACTGCTTTTCAGCAACCATGAAGTGAGCCGCTATGTTCTACCATACATTTTTGCTTCAATTTATCTGTTTTTTGGCCAGCCAACCACATACTGAATCCTCTGAGTCAAATTGAACCCTTTCCCTTTTAAGTTGTGAGTGTCAGTGTTTTTTTTCTTTCTCTTCTCACCAAGTTTTCTTATGACCACTGTCATCAATTTTTATCAACTTGCAAAATTTTCTTAAAAGGAATGACTGCTACATTGCCATACTCAAGGCTCAATTCTCTGCCCTATTCATGATGTGCCTACAAGCAAATTTTAATCTGGAGTCTCCCTTTTTGTTAAAGAACTTCACTTGGCTGCACAAGCTATGGTCTCTTTGATTTCATTTTAGCTCCTGGGCCAGTCATTCTCAGTTGCATTTGCTGTGTGTACAGATCTCTTCTACTTGGAGTGTTTCTTGTCTCAGGGCTCAGACTCCTCCTTTATCTGAGCTCAGTTTTATGTTGATGACTGTAATAACCTCCACCCACCCAGAAGTACAGTTTGGTGTATAAGGGCCTACTTGACCACACTTAAATATCTAGGGATTTCTCAAAGTGAGGTTTTGCCATTCAAGGACTTTTATACCTTACTAAATAGAAAATTCAAAAGTCTCCTTTTTTTGTGACTGCAAGGGAACCTTAATATCAAAACTTTTGCTTCTTTTCTTTCTTTAATACATCAATACATTAGCAAGTCCTTTTGGTAGCATCCTTAATTTATTTGAGGAATTGAACCATATCTTATTTCTTTTACCATCCTGTAATAATGATAGAGTAACTGGTTTCTCTGATTTTACCATGTCCCCTTAGAAACTACTCTGAACATATTATACAGAAAGATCATTGTAAAGTGAAATTGGAGAAATATCACTTATGTGAGCAAAACTCTTAACAGACTTATCTAGCATTTCAAAATTTTTGAAACACTTCTTATGTTTTGATTCCTTACAATGATCATGAACTTAAGTTCAAACAATCATTACATCTTATCTACTAGCTAGGCTGTTATTTATTTCTAATTTCATATCCTGTTATGCAATCCTGTTATGCAATCTCTACACTCTAATTGACCCAGCCTCTCTGTCCAAATATGTACCACAGTAAGGTTAAATAAATGCAAAATTACCCAAACTATTGTTAAAACAATGATCTATTAATTACTGTGAAAGTAAGATGTTATTTAAGATTAACAGTGCTATTTCTTTCTTGAAAATAAAAGATCAGTGATTTGATTGCTTAATATATAATAGATTGAAAACTGTAACAATTTATTCTTCTAACATAATACATGACTTCAGCACAGTATTTCTCCTTCTTCATAGAAGGAAAAAAATGATAAAATGGGTGCAGTCAAATGAGTTTAGATTTTTGGTGCTAGATCACTTTTCCAATACTATGCAAACCATAAAATTTGTCACGCTTAGAAAATGACAAGATGACATTTGGTACAAAGAAAAGAAATAAAACCACTTGAATGTAATTTTTTAGTACTGTTAAATTTTCATTAGTGCATATTTCCAAGATATGCATTTTAGAATCGTTCTGAGGAGGGGCTGGGGATTTAAGTCAGTGGCACAGCGCCTGCCTGGCAAGCACGAGGTTGTGAGTTCAATTCCCGGTACAAAAAAAAAAACCCAAAACCAAACTAGAATCGTTCTGAGGAATGAGTACACACACACAATACATTTTGTTTTTTTTTCTTTTTTTAAAAAATCTTTCCCTTCCCACTTTTCATCTGTGTTAAAAGTAATTAAGATTGGAAATTATTTTCCTTTATTTTTTCTTAGTCTGACTCCTTGTAGCCTTTAAGAATTTGTTACCTACCATAAGCTAAAATGGTGAAGGTGTATAGTAGTCTTATAATGTATATCATCTAAGAATGTCTTTAAGCATTTCTTTGAAGTGGATTTGCAGAAAAATATCTAAATTTGATATAATGGAAAAATATTCCAACTGTAAAATAAATACTTCAGATTTAGCCTTGAATAAATTGAAGTTACTAATTCTTTTAATTTCTAATATTTTAAGCATGAAAACACTATTTGAACTCTATATTTTATATATTTTGACTTCATTTTTATGGAATTATAGAAAGGAGAACTGTTCAACAATTTCACAAAAGCTCTCTGAAGAAGAAATGTGGCAGGAGGTTCTTCCTTTCCTCTCCCCTCCCCTCCTCTGCCTTCCACTCCCCTCCCCTCTCCTCCTGTCCTCTCCGCTCTTTTCCTTTCCCTTCTTCTTGCATTTTTTTAATGATCTATAGATAGATTTGGAAAGCATTTATCACTTTTTTTTTTACAAAAGTAAACTGACGGATATCTGAGAGAAAATGTGGCAAATTGTGCAGCTACTATAGTGTGTAGGAACTGGAGATTGCTCTGAAAATAACCTGCAAGCCAGATCAGTGTCATTCACTGATTAGCTCAAATGTTAAATGCCAATAGTTTGAAGTTATAAAAGTGATAACTTTCTACTGGCATATTTTGGTAACTCAGAGATAAGCATTATTTTCACTACTTAAATAAATACCCATCTACATTGTTATTTGGTATTGTTTGACTTAGTTTTATAACTCATTCCACACATTTAATTTTATCATCTGTACTCACACATAATTATTCTATATATAAGAAGAAAGGTTGTTGTTTTAACATTTTGTTTTGTAGTGGATCCTTATCTTTGTGATAGTGGATGTATAATTGGACTCTTAAATAAGTAAAAAAAAAAAAAAAGCCTAAAGACATTGTAATTCATTGCAATGCACTTCATTTTCCAAAGTTGTGTCCCAGGAGTCAGTGTAGCAATAACCATGAAATAAAGTTTATTACATTCATTCAAACTTAGATGCTAAAGAAAACCAGATGGCCCAGAGTTATGCGACATGCACATACACAAGCACATGCTTTACACACACACACACACACACACACACACACACACACACACAGTCTGCTTTTATTATGACTCCTGTTTATTACTCTTTGGTGATCTGGACACACCCCCTTCACCTCTTTGAACTAGGTTTTTGCATTTTCAAAATGACAATGTAGAAACTGCTCAGAATTTTTTGAAATGCAGTCTATCAAAGTATTCAAATTATTTTTAAAAATGTGTAAGTTCTTTTCCCTGAAAATAACCTAAATATAAATGTAAACTGTGGACAATATGGATGCTCACCTTAGAAGCCTGGGCACAACTCAGGCTGAAACATAAAAAAGCCTTTAGGTTGTTAAAAGTTTCTCATCAACAATACACACAATTTTTTTAGCTTGCTCGGGACCACAAATTACACACTGAGGCTGGGGCCAG